GGGCCGGGATGTTCTTCTGTGGGATACGGAGCAACACAAGAGATTGGTCCATTTCTGGTGGACGACAAAGGAAACAGTGTTACATTTAACCCCCACGCTTGGAATCATGGTAAACCAGAGCTTTATTTTTCATATAAATAAAATTTCATCACCGTATCATATGTACTATATAAAAAGCCATGCGGATAACGACGTCCAAATAAGTCATTATTCGCTTTTAGTCAGGCCCGGCTCATTGCTTTAATGGGCCTATGCGGAAATTTTGTTTTTCCGCAACTAAAAGAATGTTTTTCAAAATTTACAGAAATTTAGGACTCTTTTCGAATTTTTTTCAAAATTTTAAGATATTTTTGCAAATGTAAAACAATCAAAATTTTGCGACTCATCGTAGGGCGCGTGCCCTATGCAAATGCCTTGTTGGCACATGCCTAACGTCGGCATCAACATGAATTACAAGGATCTCAAATCCGCATTAATCGCTTGTCACTCTTGAATTACATTGTAATTTGTTGCAAATTAGAGACGTTTATGGAATGCCGTAAACTCATTGCTAGAAACGATGTTCTAGATGTTGTTAATTAGCAACGGATTACTGATATATACAATCGATAAAAATTAACCAAGATATGGTTGTCACATTTTAATGACGTCTAGCTCATTATAAAGTAGTGATGGAAATTTCAAATACAATTGGTCGTTATATTGAATAGCAAAATATTGACGTGTTTATTCGTTGTTTCTTTGCAGCGGTTTTGAAGTAATTTTTCCGTTGCTAATTAGTGAGAAAATAGTTATGAGAATAAAATAATTGATACATAAAACAAATATTGAAAATAATTCAAATAATAGTATAATGTATGATGTATCTTTATTTTGACTATATATATAGGCAACGTTCATGGTCTTTGCATCTCAAAATGGCATTGAATGAAATGATTCTTGTTGGTAATATATTATGCAGAGGCCAACATGCTGTTTCTAGAATCTCCCGTTGGTGTTGGGTTTTCTTATTCAAACACAACTAGTGACAATAAAAAGCTTGGCGATGATTTTACAGGTATGTTTGTATATTTGTCTATAATCTCTCTATTATCTCTCTTAGATTAGGGGTTACCCATGAAAAAGATATCCGTATGTTTATGAAATATGTAATCCATTTGTTTATTTATTTGTGACTCATATCAGTTCTAGAGCTAGCCAGATATATCTTGTGAACATAATTAATTTTATATTTTAATTGAGTAGTCCATTTGTTATTCTTAGATTTTTGGTTTAAAATTTTTTTTATAGATAAAATGTAGTAAAAATAGATTGCAATACTCATAAAATGTGTATAGAAATTTTTTG